ATACTGTTAAAAGCGGCGTTAAACCAAACTCACTCACTCACTCCAACTGTAGGTTAACGTTGCACCGAGTCAGCAAGCAGTTGTCCTTGTGCAGGATCATTATTCCTGACGGGCGTACACGTACTGAAACAATGTGTGTTCCTGTAGCTCGTGTGGTCACAAGCGAGCTCCTGTAATACGGTATATAATCAACAATAAACCTGTTTTAACTGCGCCTTCTTGGTGGTTTATTTATTGTTCATTCTAGCAGCCGAGATAGCCTTTGTTCCCTCCCAGCCTGCTGATGAACGAGGTACGAATCGTTACCTAGTCAATTACAACCTTGAACCTTAGAGCCCCAGCCAGCTGGAACGGTATATCTTCCCTGCTACCAACAATCACAAAAGCTGCATACAACCAATAGTAGACTATCATCTAGTCTCTGAAATGACCACATTCTACAGAAAAAAACTGTTGTTATATTATGGTTTTAAAATATAATAAAAAGGAGCCCAGAGACTTTCTTCATTCCTGATACTGCAGTTATCTAGACTAACGCAACATTATAGACTTGCATGGGCTGTATTGAATATATTTGTTTCAGGGTCTGTATGACAGACTCAATCAACAGAGATGAACACGGACCCGAGAAATGGTGCAGGGCATTGCGGTCCCATATGGAGCGTAAAGTTGTGTTCACGTTGGGGTGCAGCAGAGACATTGATCAGGTCCCTACCTTTTGTTCAATGACGTATCAATACGTTTATTACGTAGACGTTTACAAGATACGACTTATTGCAATCCCACGAATAGAGCTCAGGAATTGCATCGATAAAATGTGACGGTTACAAAAATCCAAATCTCACAGTTGTACTAATTGTACACAAACGATGGTGCTGCAGCTTAGCGCTTTCGGTTTAACGCCCCTTTAACATTTTTTCTATTATCAAAAATATGTCCACTATTTTTTCTTCTTCTTTTTTTTCTTTTTGTTTTTGGGGGGATGGGGGTAACTCTGAACAACACCCATGTCCGTCCTTGTATGCAAGGTGAATATGATACAATAACAGCACTCATACATGTACTACAGCAAAAGGTACGCAAGCTCTCTCAACCTCCCCAACCCAACCCAACCTTTATTTCAAATGCACCTCTGCACATTTGACCATTTACACCATTGGGAATATGCTAAACAAGCTCAAAACAACCCCTGTTACTTAGAGTAAAAACGGTTCAATGCCCCATTAGTAGTTTTCCAACAAAATCATCCTACACAGATATTATGCAAGAGACGTCATATGGCCTCGTGACAAAACTAGGAAATGAAGTGTACGACACCACCGGTTGGAAAAGGAGGCTTTTCTTTTCTGAATACCATGCGAAATGTCTATTTTGGATTAAATGATAAGGATTATGAATTTCTGTTCCATTAATAAGGTTTATCACAGGTTCCATAAAGAAAAGTAAAGAAAGAAAATGGATATCATTTAAATTTAATATTTATTTATTATACTGTGCACGGGACGACTTGCACGTTATGCTCGGACGAGTTACCTCCCTTGAATCCAGCATTTCGTTCTGTGTGAGATCGTTCCTCCTTTCATCGGTTGAAATAAGGCTTGGTTTGACTGATAGTCCGGGTCTAAAAATGATAAATATTTATAAACATACTTGATTGTACGGACGTTAAGATGAGGATATGGTTATACACACATAAGCTGTCTCTGGCGTATAATTTCGTTAACCTCTACACCCTAAAAAATAGCAGTCTACATATTTTACTTAAGGTTTTGTATTAACACAAGAATTGTTATCTCCCTTGGACCGTTTGTCCATTGCCATGTCTTGAGCAATTATAAACTGGTACACTGTTGCCTCGCGACAGCTAGCTTGATGTTGACAGGCGGCGGCCAAAAAATGTGATATAAATCTGTATCATATCCGGTTGTATGTGCGCATGCGTGGCGTCCTTATGTACGAACGTATATAAACATGACACATGTAAACACCTCAAAGTTTTATTTTGCGCGATAAACGTCACAACATACAACTCTTCTAGTGTCTGTATTTGATAGAACTATTTTACTTCTGAGTGAAAGTCACAAACACACTTCAAGAAGTCCGCTATTTTAGTTGCATTCGACACCGAGGACCAATCGATCTCATTAATATCGGGTCTGGCTTCTCGCTACCGCTAAACAAAAAACTGAGGGCATCCTATAACGGGTCATGTCAGAATGACCTTTCAGAACGTCGCTTACAAGAACAGGATAGTGACAGTCGAAATGACAGTTTTCTGATCATGCAACCTCGAAAAGGTGAACACTGGGTATTCCGAACGACAGTTTCGGGCAGTACGACTAAGTCAGTGAAAACGATCGTTTAACGCTTCAGTGGGATACACATTTGAACGGACAGCCTTTGATAAGCCTGTGAATACGGCCATGCAATCTCGGCTATCTCTTAGGATTCAAGAATGCTTTTTTGTGCAGTTTTCAAATTTTGTATCGAGAACTTTGTCAACATATTTCCAAAGCAGAATATGGAATGAAAGTCGCCAGTTTGAAACAAGTGCCGTATAGCTCGAGAAAGCTGTTTTTTGATTGGTTAACGTAAACTTCTTGATTGTCATTTCAATAGGCGGTCAAAGTTCGCGAAAGGTCGTTCTGGCGTGACCTACAATGGGATGTCTTCAGATCTTTGTTGAATGGTAGCGAGAACTAAGATCCGATTTAAATTAGATTGAAGACCAATGCATTTTATTATGTGTTTTCCAATCACAACCGACGAGAAATCGGCCAACGCCCGTCTACTCGTTAGGGTTGACAGGAACTCAGCCAATACACAATCCTCGCTATTGACCATAAAATGTGTTAGTTTGGTATTTGTAATGACCACAGTTTGTGCTTCAGATACCTTTTTTCAGAACAGTCTTGAGTATACGTCCGCCTTGTCTTTGGAATGAGGAGTATATATGTATAAAGAGGTTCACTTGTTCGGAAACCATTCGTCACAACTCGCATCTGTCCGCAACCAACGAGTTCACCACGAATGGTTTGGGAACCACACAGAATGTCACACGACACGTTGGTGCACAATCGGTATCAGTGTGCCACGGTGGATTGGCCTTACTTAAAATAGCGTTTCAGATCGTACGTTACCACACGTGTGGGGGGAGGGGGGGGGACATCTGGCTCCAGAAATCAGCCTCACGAAGGCATTCCGCACTGTCTGGTCAGATATCCTTCGTAATTCTGGAACAGTTGGTGTTGTAGAGTATGCTGTTTATACACCTTTACAGCACATAACAGTCGTTGTAACACTTGACGTACCCTGCCCTTGCTACCATACCAGTGTCCAGAAATGGAGCACTGGGACACGTTCAATACCCTGGCTACACCCGACTGCGCATGTCCTGCTTTCCATCGGCTACGTCTACTTTGATTGGCCAATTCACGATGTTTCACGTGCGCAAATGCGTCCCCTGGTTCTCACGTGGTGTTACTTTCCTGTATTGTTACGGTTTTGGTCGCAGTATTGTGTCATTGCTGCGTTTTCGTGAATCCACCAATGATATGATTAATGCAAGACTGTCGCAGAAATGTCATTTTTCGATTGGCACAGTGTGTGTATCACATTATGAATGAAAGAAAGAATGCATCATGATCAAGATATGAAAATATTTGTAATTATGTATACACTTAGGCAACTAATGGGGTGGGTTGGACGGGATTGGTAGGGGAGTAAGTCTCAAAGTCTTGTTTCGTCTGAAATGTTGAGTCGCGCATTATGCGCTTGGATGTGTACTGTGTTACCATTTGTATCTGGTCTGAGGCCTATAAATAAACTTTGACTTGACTTGACTAGACATTATTAGTTTCATAGAAAAATACACCATATTGATACTTCATATATCGTTTATGTTAATGTCTTTCGAAAATGTATGTTAATATAATCTTTTCTTTATGTTTAGGAGTGTTGCTGAAGCTGGTACATGTTGGTTAGTTTACTCACTCACTCTGCAGAAGCAGACATTGTGATTGTGACACATCCTGATTCGTATGTTCACGCTACGCGTTCGTTCAATTCAATTTAGCGAGGTTAAATCTACAGGTAACCTAGTTCTACATTGAAAACACAGTATGTTTACCTCCTAATTACCACAGTAAAGATACTTCTTACTGCCACATTTCGCCCTTACCATAACAGAGGCAAACAGATTAGTCAGTCAACACAACATAAAGCAACACTGCAACATGAAACGCTCGGCGGGGGAATCGTCTAAATATAGCACTGCATCTCAGTCACTGCGATAACCGTTCATTCGTCGGAGTTGAAAATACAACGTTGAAGTTTTCAGTAAAAATAGAAAAACGTACATGGAGGAGTTGATCGAAAACTTTGAACCAGTTCGAAAATATTTTTGGGAATAATTTCGGGGCAAATTCGATAGGCGATGGTAGCGGTCATATTTCGGAACACGGAAGTTGATTTTGTTAAACGTTCTGTGATTGGATTATCGATATGTGGGATAGTCCCTTCATATTGTAGCACAGAAAAGTAGGGTTGAAGTGGCAAGGGTTAAAACTAGACAGTGATATAGGGTAGTGGGAAAGTTTGCCTCGAGAAGATGACCAGAACCAAATATTGCTATTGCCTGAAAACATCTTTTGTTTTGATATGGATCAAATACGAGAAGGTTCAGCCCCTTATATACTTCAAACTTTATTACAAGATATATATGCACAACTTGCAAAGTCCTGAAACAAAACAAAATGTATCACCTAGTCAGTAGAATATGGTATTTCTACATGCTTTTTAATGTAAACAAGGCAGGAAATAGCATTGTTATTTAAGGAAACAATGCAATCGAAAACACATCCTTACTCAAATTAATTACCACATGTAAACCGAACCGTCATTTGTGAAACGGAATTACTTCCTGTTTTCTTAGAAACACAGTTAGGAGCGGCATAAGTGTAAACGGAAATTCACCGAGAACCTAAGGAGAACCATTTACAGCTCTGTACCAGTATATCCAAAGCTGTATTCGTTTTATAAAAGGGATCGCACAAACACGGTAGTCATAGTCATCAAGAATACGTCTTTTAGGTGAAATCGTAAAATATGATTTGGATACTCGTTGTTTCCCAGTTCTTAATGGGATTCCCAACCAATGCAAATATTGAACAGAATCATTGTCATCTAATTGAAGAGTACAAGCACTTTAAGACTGCCATGGACGAGTACAAGCAATTTCAGATTACCATGGACACGTACTTGGCATCAAGTGACGGCATCTGTAAAGGCGTATTTTATAACTATACTGGTGAGTGTTACCTTTTGGCACATCCTTTTACAGCTAAGTCAATGACTGGAGAAAGCGTTGGTTCGTCACATCAAAGGACTGTTTCGATTCCCCACGTGGGGATAATGTGCCCCCCCCCCCCCCCCCCCCCCCCCCCCCCCCCCCTTCCACAATGTCTTTGGAATATCGATAAAAACCTAGTAGAACCATGCTCACTCCTGAATATCCTGATGCCGTTTAAACTGAGTACCAAGGAACATTTCCATATTAATGACATTAGCAATATAACTATCGTATCTCAAGGTAAAACATATCATGCACATCATTTGTATTTGAAATCATGAAGGGACTTTTCTCGCGTATTCACGTATTGACCAATTCTCGCATATTCGCTTTTTCGCATTGTCGCGTTTTGAATAATAGTTGTGGCTTTCGCCAAAGGCAACAATGCGACAACGTACAAATAAGAAGTGTTGACGCACTGCTGCCCCATCTTGAATGAGTAAAAAGAAGTTTGTATGACAACACCACAAGGCCACATATTCATTATATCTCCATTGCTGCAGCAATCTCATTAAAATCAGATCTTGGTTTTGGCTACCGCTACACAAAGATCTGAGGACATCCAATTACAGGTCACGACCTTTCACGAACTCTACGTCACCAGTTTCAAACTGGCAACTTTCATTCAAGACTACGGCTTGGAAACATACTTTTCGATTTCAAAATTTGAAAACTGAACAACAAGTAACTTCTTGAAAGTCTAATAGATGGCCGACATTGTATGGCAGTATTTTCCACGGGTAAAGAAAGTCTCTTCTGTTTGCAATGTTTATCCCATTCAAGCGAGTGATAGAGGATGATTTTGAAGCAATCGTGACAGACGAGGATTTTGACGCAATCAGTCGTACAGTCCGTAACTGTCCTTTGAAATACCCAGTGTTAACCTTTTCGTGGTTGCATGATCTGGTAAGCGACGCTTTGATTGGTCGGATTAAAGGTCGTTCTGACGTGACCTGTAATTTGACGTCCTCAGATCTTTGCTTAGTGATAGCGAGCACAAAAATCTGATTTTAATGACATTGCTGCTCCAGTTGTCCTGAAAACCATTCAGTATTAATGGTAAGATTGGAGACTTTGTCAACACGAAAACAACTCATTTTTTTAGAAATTGAAATTATACCAACGTCTTTTGACAGCAAGCCATAAACTCTTACATAACTGCTGGCTTCCCCCCAGATCAAGCTGACATGCCGTAATATTACAGCAATATTGCGGGAAGCGCCGTTAAACAAAACTCACACACTCACTGTCTCACTACCATATTTATATACAAGCTATTCACTATTAAATCATTATACGCGCTTTTAATTTTAAAATTGTTGGTAGTTACATATATCTGAGTCCCATCACACAAACCAACGTAAGGGAAGTGCAATTATTATTAAATCTGTATGTAAACATCATAGTTGAGGGTTGCTACTGCATTGTAAACAGCCCCTCACTCACTCATTCAACAGCTTCGTTTGGTAAATTCATTTGCAGTACAGCTGCTACAATGGGGTCGAGAAAATAGGGACCCAACGTGGTGTAGATTCAACATAGATGGGGGATCATTGAAATACTAGGGTCCACTTGAAGACATGATTACACGGAAGCAAGCATTACCAATCTGAAATTGTTTTGTTAAAAAGTGCTTTGTGAAATATTCATTTTTAGATTGTGCAAGTATTTTGAAGGAGTATCCGAAGGCTGAAGATGGCGTGTACAGGATAAAACCTTCAGACGAACAAGGCTCGTTCAAAACGTACTGTGACATGACCCAACATGGCGGCGGCTGGCTGGTGAGTACACTCATTCTCATGACAACCTCGACTTGGCCAGAAGGACATAAAAACAAAGAGCGTTATATTGAATTAGTTGATGATGTGAACGAAGTGTTTTCACCCTTCCCGAAAATAGTGAGTGTATGAATACTGTTTTAGGCCGCAATGTGCCAGTTCAATCATCGCAGCCAAATATACACTATTGACTCTGGACAAGGAAAACCAGTGAAAAAAAACATGCGCAGCGAACCATCAGGATCACACAGTCACATAACATTTCTAATTTTAGTCCACGTTTCCAACAAGTATGATGTACTGACGGCCTATTCCGATTGATAAAAAGGGTGAAAAAAATCTTTTTCATTATGTAATCTTAATAGTTTTTGTCAATCTTAATCATTTTTGTCAATATTGCAGATCATTCATATATAAAGTTTTGTTATATTTAGTGATACAATGCTTTGGGTAACTTTTGAAATGTTTGTTTCACAATTTCTGTGCATCAAAATTGATAAATAGTCCCAGTGTTGCAAAAATGAGATACGGAAACATGCGCGTGAATGTAATGTGTCAAGGTACTACAAAGGGATGGTAATGCAACAAGATGAACATCGCTTTAATCTTAAAGTATTTATTTAGTATCCATTTCTGCTTCCTTTTACAACGTCCACGTTACACCCGAGTCACCTTACAACTAGCCCTGGTGCATAGGACAACGGAGTGTGTTGATCGTAACCTTAGTGTTATGCATCGTTGGAACATGTTGCGTTACAGCTCATTCAGCGGACAGTGGATGGGTTTGTGGATTTCTGATGACCAAGAAGTTTCATTTATGTTAAATTGTGTGTGTATGCACTGTGGATCATGTTGACCTAATACTCAGGTAAATATTATGGGTTTTTTATGTTTTGAGTCAATAAATCATTTTTTGTTACAGGTGATACAGCGGAGAGTGGATGGGTTGGAGGATTTCTACAGGACTTGGTTTGAGTACATGGACGGCTTTGGCAATCTCACTGGGGAGTTCTGGCTGGGTAAGAATGTGTACAATGTCATAAATATACAATACATTAACGATATTTGACTTGTTAAGTCATGGAAACACACGAATCCTCTATTGCAGCTGAATCGATATATCTTTGAAGCCTCGGCATATTACACAATCGTTATGACAAGAACATACCATAGAATAATATGTTTACACATGCGTTGAAACCAAAACCACTTATTTGTCAGGGAATTTCACACAAATGGTCGCAAAGATGTATACATAGTGTGTCATTAGTGTGTTCAAAAGTCAAAAGTCTTGTATTCTTGACGATTGAACGCCTTAACCACTTGGCTACCCTACCGCCTCATTTTAAACACACGTTATGACAAAGAACACAGCGTAGTATAAGATGAAGAACCGTAGTATTTGTTTATACAAATACAAACATACCATCATTATAAATTGCAAATTCTATTGTCTATTGTGGTCCATATCGTTGTTATTTTATTTATATATTTTTATGCCTAATTTGACTTATGGAAACTATGTATTTTATTGCAGGTAACGAAAAGATACACCGTTTAACCCGCCAGACAACATACGAATTACGAGTTGACCTAACGTTTTTGGACGGTAAGACTGCATATGGTCATTACAACAACTTCCGACTTGCCAACATGTCGAACTTCTACAGGCTTGCCGTCAGTGGATTCTCGGGGAATGCAGGTAAATATGTAATGTCTTTTGAAGTTTTATGGATCTCGGAGACGCCAACTTCGGACGATATACTGAGATGTCTGAACATGTTTCAACATATCCTGAAGTATGATATATATATACCGTATTCGACGTAATAAGCGCCCAGGGCCCTCTTAAAATTAGAAATAGGGGGCTCTTATTAGAATATTATTTTGTCGAAATAAACAGAGTTGAAAGATAAATTCCGTGGTTTATGCTGACACCTGAAATGTTTATATATGAGAGATATATTTTTCAAGAGTTTAATTGCCCAAAATTAAGGCTGCATATAACACACGAGTGCGTATTATACGCGAATAAATAAGTATTGTGTACATTGATCAATCGGAAAGGGTGCTAATTGGGATTGTTCACGAGCCAATATATCAGCGTTGGCGCTTATTAGAGCGGGGCGCTTATTACGTCGAATACGGTATATATATATATATATATATATATATATATATATATATATATATATATATATATATATATATATATATATATATATATATGTAAAGGTTCATTGAGGCATATCTGTATATGTGGTGATGTGGAGTGAAGGATTAAATTATCAATATATATATATTAATATCAATGAGTCAATTATACAGCTCATCTTTGGACTTTGTATTTTATATATATATATATATATATATATATATATATATATATATATATATATATATATATATATAAACCTTCACTCCACACACCGATATATACAGAGGTGTGCGGCAATGAAACAATGTACCTTCACTCCACATCACACATACATGTATACAGATATGCCACAATGTACCTTCACTCAACATCAACCCATATACAGATATGCCACAGAGTACCTTCACTCCACATCAACATATATACAGATATGCCACAATGTAACTTCACTCAATATATCAACACACATACAGATATACTACGATGTACCTTCACTCCACATCACCACATATACAGATATGCCACAATGTACCTTCACTCAACATATCAACACATGTACAGATATGCCACAATGTACCTTCACACCACATCAACACATATACAGATATGCCACAATGTACCTTCACTCCACATCAACACATATACAGATATACCACAATGTACCTTCACTCAACATATCAACATATATACAGATATGCCACAATGTACCTTCACTCCACATATACAGATATGCCACAATGTACCTTCACTCAACATATCAACACATATACAGATATGCCACAATGTACCTTCACTCCACATCAACACATATACAGATATTCCACAATGTACCTTCACCCTACATCAACACATGTACAGATATGCCACAATGTACCTTCACTCCACATCAACACATATACAGATATGCCACAATGTACCTTCACTCAACAAATCAACACATATACAGATATGCCACAATGTACCTTCACTCCACATCAACACATATACAGATATGCCACAATGTACCTTCACTCAACATCAACACATATACAGATATGCCACAATGTACCTTCACTCAACATATCAACACATATACAGATATGCCACAATGTACCTTCACTCCACATCAACACATATACAGATATTCCACAATGTACCTTCACTCCACATCAACACATGTACAGATATGCCACAATGTACCTTCACTCCACATCAACACATATACAGATATGCCACAATGTACCTTCACTCCACATCAACACATATACAGATATGCCACAATGTACCTTCACTCCACATATCAACACATATACAGATATGCCACAATGTACCTTCACTCAACAAATCAACACATATACAGATATGCCACAATGTACCTTCACTCCACATCAACACATATACAGATATGCCACAATGTACCTCCACTCCACATCACCACATAAACAGAAGATGTGTCACATTGTACCTTCACTCCACATCACAACATAAACAGAAGATATGCCACAATGTACATCCACTCTACATCACCACATAAACAGAAGATATGCCACAATGTACCTTCACTCCACATCAACACATATACAGATGTGCCACAATATACCTTCACTCAACATATCAACACATATACAGATATGCCACGATGTACCTTTACTCCACATCAACACATATACAAATATGCCACAATATACCTTCACTCCACATCACCACATATACAGATGTGCCACAATGTACCTTCACTCCACATCAACACATATACAGATGTGCCACAATGTGCATTCACTCCACATAACCACACACACAGATATGCCACAATGTACCTTCACTCCACATCAACACATATACAGATATGCCACAATGTACCTTCACTCCACATCAACACATATACAGATGTCCCACAATGTACCTTCACTCCACATCACCACATATACAGATGTGCCACAATGTACCCTCACTCCACATCAACACATATACAGATATGCCACAATGTACCTTCACTTCACATCACCACATTTACAGATGTGCCACAATGTATCTTCACTCCACATCAACACATATACAGATATGCCACAATGTACCTTCACTCCACATCACCATACATACAGATATGCCACAATGTACCTTCACTCCACATCACCACATATACAGATATGCCACAATGTACCTTCACTCCACATCAACACATATACAGATATGCCACAATGTACCTTCACTCCACATCAACACATATACAGATATGCCACAATGTACCTTCACTCCACATCACCACATATACAGAAATGAAACAATGTACCTTCACTCCACATCACACATACATGTATACAGATATGCCACAATGTACCTTCACTCCACATCAACACATATACGGATGTGCCACATTGTACCTTCACTCCACATCACACATACATGTATACAGATGTGCCACAATGTACCTTCACTCCACATCAACACTGATGCAGAAATGAAACAATGTACCTTCACTCCACATCACACATACATGTATACAGATATGCCACAATGTACCTTCACTCAACATCAACACATATACAGATATGCCACAGAGTACCTTCACTCCACATCAACACATATACAGATATGCTATAATGTACCTTCACTCCACATCAACACATATACGGATATGCCACAATGTACCTTCACTCCACATCACCACATATACAGATGTGCCACAAGGTACCTTCACTCCACATCACCACATATACACATATGCTAGAATATACCTTTACTCCACATCACCACATAAACTATTGCAAGGTAAATAATGGAATTAATGAGAAGGCAATGCTGATAAGTCTCATATTCTACCAGTACATTGCTTAAAGTTGATAATGATTTACTGTACAAACATCATGATGAAACGTGACTTAATTGCTGATATGTTTACATAAACGGTTAAGACTCAGTTTAATACAATTCAACTTCAGGTGACTCTCTGGCTGGGCATAACGGTATGCGCTTCACCGCCAAGAATCTGGATTTGGACACACACAAGACCAAAAACTGTGCTGTCAGTTATCACGGAGCATGGTGGTACAAAGCATGTTACAATACCAACCTCAACGGCATCTACAACGACACGACATCGAAAGGAATAAGATGGGCCAGCAAGCATACTCAGCATACAAGTATGAAAATTCGCCCGCTACACAGAAACAAAGAAGAATAGCGGCACACCGCGAGGCTCATTAATGTCATGTTATTATTGTTTTCTTCAGAACTGATGGAGAAATAGGGCAATACATGCAAGTGAACAAAGTACAACGCCAAATGGAATCTGTTTCTTGCATTGACATTTTATATCAAAAGCAGCTAACACCAAAATTGTTAGGAGTGGCACTTATAATCTATAGATTGTTCTATGTAACCTATGCTTAGTCTAAAGTGCAATTCCTGACATAGTAGCAAAATACTTGTGGCCGAGAAACCGTGGGATATCTAGAATAGGCTTCAGCCTTAGTCCGTGAGGAGACAAGACGAGAGATTATGGGTTTCTAGATGATACATGATTGTGTATGAATGGAATAAATACTTTTCAACTGAACTTCAATGAGCTTTGTCAAATTTCACTTGTTGTTACGTGTCATATTATATTGGGGGCGGTAGGGTAACCTTGTGGTGAAAGTGATCGCTCATTACGCCGTAGATCCGGGTTCGATTCCCCACATAGGTACAATGTTTGAAGCCCATTTCTGGTGTCCCCCGCCGTGATATTGCTGGAATATTGCTAAAGACAATTACAATACTAACTCACTCATGTTACAATTGAGAGGTCAAACAATTTCAATTTCAACTTCTACCATTATCGGCTCAGAAGTGCATAAGGTTCAGAGTGACAAAAAACACTCCAAAAGACTGTATGACAAGATGGAGGACTTCAACTTTTCAGTAGTCAACTTTTCCTTTATGTCCTTTGGTATTTACATTTGACAACTTTTGAGGTACAGTCGAGCATGCTCTTTCTACCAACATTTCAAAGACAGCTACACAACATTGTTCTGTGGTCAAGGTTACAGCATTCAATGACACAGTAAAGTTTTTAAAACGTTTTATGGTAGACATGTGGACATTTCAAAATTTGACGCATCAGTGACAAAAAAAATATGTCCGTTGCAATTTCCTATTTTTACTTCTTTTTGCAGACTTGCCTTTGTATGTGTTTGTGACGGGTGCCACCGGTGGGGCATGATACGCCCACCTTTTCGCGAACACCTGGTGATGGTATCACCGCTGTTAGTGATTCATAAACACATGCTCACAATACAATCAGAATCGTACAGTTCAACACTTAAATCTTAAAGGTCACATAAAGTATGACTGGTCATGTCATTCTTACAGGTCACATAAAGTATGACTGATCATGTCATTCGTACAGGTCACATAAAGTATCATTCAACACGTAATACTTAAAGGTCACATTAAGTATGATTTAACACATGATTCGTACATGTCACATTAAGTATGATCTTTGAAAAGAGCTTAAAACCTTCGAACATACATTGGATTTACACCACAAACAAAATACATATGTACAACTTGCAAACCACATGAGGAATTCATTACAGGCCTGACAAAATATTCCACACCTCTCGGGTAAAATACTGTATCTATACAGGCTCTTGACCAGGAAATAGCATGGTCATTTAGGGAAACAATGCAATCGAAAACACATCCTTACTCAAATTAATTACCAAATGTAAACCGATCGGTTGTGTGTGAAACGGAATTAACCGTTTTGTTTCTTGAAATAATTACAAGTGGCACAAGAGGTAACGGAAAACCACCTAGGACCTAATTGACACGTGCAATACATATATTGTATAGCCATATATATCTAAAGCTGTATTAGTTTTACGTTGGGCACGCGCAAACACGTTATTCACTGTCAACAAGATCAAATCCTTGCAGTGAGGTCTCAAATATGATTTGGATACTCATTGTTTCCCAGTTCTCCTTGGGATTTCCAGCTAATGCAAATATTGTAAAGAAACATTGTCAGTTGATTGACGAGTACAAGCAGTTTCAGACTACCATGGACACATACTTGGCATCAAGTCACGACATCTGTCAAGGCGAATCTGATAACTACAGTGGTGAGTGTTTCTTTAGGTTTTGGTTTGGTTTGGTTTGTTGTTTAACGCCGCACTCAGCAATATTCCAGCTGGCGGTCTGTAAATAATCGAGTCTGGACAAGTCAGTCCAGTGATTGAGATCATGAGCATCGATCCACGCAATTGGAATACGATAACATGCATCCACCAAGTCAGCGAGCCTGACCGCCCGATCCCGTTTGTCGCCTCCTACGACAAGCATAGTTGCCTTTGTTACTTTAGGGCGCCCCTTTAACAGCTTTGTCAACAGCATCAATGGACGTTGTTGTAGCCTAGTCGTTCAGGCGTTCGCTCGTCACGCCGAGGGAAAAGGTTCGACTCCCATCGTGGGGACCATAGCTATGTGAAGCCAATTTCTGATGTCCTCAACCTTGGTGTTGCAAGAATATAGCTTAAAGCGTCGTAAATTATACTCGCTCACTCCTCACTCAAAATGCTAATGGCGTTATAGTGCTACTTATGTATCTCTACATAAATACGACATCAGCCATATGTCCAGCGTAACTCCTGTCGGTGCACATACCACAATTGAGTCATTCTCTTTGGGAATTGTAAAGGGACCTTAAATAATGATTGCTTTCTTAAAATGAAAACAAAATGAAAACCAATCTTTGATCTTCTTTTTAGATATTACCTTCATTGACGTATCCATAGACCACCATGATTTGATAGCATGAAACAAATCCATTGTATTTCTGTTCATTTAATTTCGGCCCCCCAAAAAAATTTCAAATGGATATGGGGGGTTCAGCTACGTTTAATACCCGCATAACTTAAGCGTCAGTATCTTTCCATAGACCGCAGCGATAAAGCTGCTGCTTTGTAAACATTTCCTCACTCACTCACTCACTCAACGGCTTCGTTTTACGAAGGCTAGGATTTGGGTCTAGAGGGAAAACGAGGTTGAAAATTGGTTGAATATTGATAAAAGCGTTGAAAAACCTTGCTCATTCACTCCTCACTAAATATACTTCTCATACAGATAAGGATCACTGTTAAGGATAACTCGATCTCTTTCATATTTCTATAGTTAATCGATCTGTCCTGGTGATCTTTATTTATGGGGTAGTATATCTTAATGACGTTTAAATTGGGTACCACTGGACATGTCCATAATAACGACCTTAGCAATTTGACAAGCGTAATTCCCATCAATACCACCAAGGTAAAACTTGTCGTTTCACATATTATTTCTCATCATGTAAAGGACGCATGATGCGTTGTCCCATTGTCGTGTTGTCGGCCTGACAATGCCAAGAAAAAAGTTAACCAAAGCGAGATTTATTAACCAAAGCGGTACTACGTTTTGGCCAATTGTTGCATGCTCGCTTTTTCGCATTGTGACACTTTGTATAATTCTTTTGTTTTTTTCCAAATCTTAAAAATACGACAACGTGACAATTTTAAAGTTTAAATATGACGAGTTGTCGCGTTTTCTTGCCTTTTAGTGTTAAAATGTATGACAACTCGACAATGCCACATATTCATTATCTCCCCAGTGATCCAGTTGTCATTCAACTCCAATGATCCGAAATTAATTAAAGTACTAATGGGAATATTAGTATTTTTCTCAAAACGAAAACAAACCGATGCTCATTCTTTAAAATGAGAAATTATTGCATATATCTTTCACATACAAAAGCATTTTGTATTCCGGTTCCCAACAGATTTTGAAATCGAGTCCAGTAGTTTTGCAGAGTTTTGTCCCTTGGTCTTGCCTGAAACGTATGATCGTGAGTTCAAATCCCAGATTCGTCCTGATCTTGTTTCTAGGTTTGTCAGCATCATACCAAGGCTTGTGGGCTTCACCGGAGTGTTTAAGCCTAAAACCTACATTACTGCTGGCTTTCCTCCCACACCAAGCTGACACGCCGTAATATTACTTGAAGCGGCGTTAAACGTTAGATTTGAACATTTTTGCTAGTTTACACATATGTAGGAGGGTTGAGGGTTGCCAGACGTCGCACCAAGATCATCTTAGTATGTGTTGAGGGTTGCTAGACGTCGCACCAAGATCATCTTAGTATATGTTGAGGGTTGCTAGACGTCGCACCAAGATCATCTTAGTATGTGTTGAGGGTTGCTAGACGTCGCACCAAGATCATCTTAGTATGTGTTGAGGGTTGCTAGACGTCGCACCAAGATCATCTTAGTATATGTTGAGGGTTGCCAGACGTCGCATCAAGATCATCTTAGTATGTGTTGAGGGTTGCTAGACGTCGCACCAATATCATCGATGTATGTGTTGAGGGTTGCTAGACGTCGCACCAAGATCATCTAAGTATATGTTGAGGGTTGCTAGACGTCGCACCAAGATCATCTTAGTATATGTTGAGGGTTGCTAGACGTCGCACCAAGATCATCTAAGTATGTTTTGAGGGTTGCCAGACGTCGCACCAAGATCATCTTAGTATATGTTGAGGGTTGCTAGACGTCGCACCAAGATCATCTTAGTATGTGTTGAGGGTTGCTAGACGTCGCACCAAGATCATCTTAGTTTATGTTGAGGGTTGCCAGACGTCGCACCAAGATCATCTTAGTATATGTTGAGGGTTGCAAGACGTCGCACCAAGATCATCTTAGTTTATGTTGAGGGTTGCCAGACGTCGCACCAAGATCATCTTAGTATATGTTGAGGGTTGCCAGACGTCGCACCAAGATCATCTTAGTATATGTTGAGGGTTGCTAGACGTCGCACCAAGATCATCTTAGTATGTGTTGAGGGTTGCTAGACGTCGCACCAAGATCATCTTAGTTTATGTTGAGGGTTGCCAGACGTCGCACCAAGATCATCTTAGTATATGTTGAGGGTTGCAAGACGTCGCACCAAGATCATCTTAGTTTATGTTGAGGGTTGCCAGACGTCGCACCAAGATCATCTTAGTATATGTTGAGGGTTGCCAGACGTCGCACCAAGATCATCTTAGTATATGTTGAGGGTTGCTAGACGTCGCACCAAGATCATCTTAGTATATGTTGAGGGTTGCCAGACGTCGCACCAAGATCATCTTAGTTTATGTTGAGGGTTGCCAGACGTCGCACCAAGATCATCTTAGTATGTGTTGAGGGTTGCAAGACGTCGCACCAAGATCATCTTAGTACATGTTGAGGGTTGCCAGACGTCGCACCAAGATCATCTTAGTATCGACAGCCTGGGTACGGCCACTGCATTGTAAATATATCCCCATTCACTCATTCAGCACGTTCGTTTGGGAAATGCATTTGCAGTACACCTGCTACAGAAAGGATCGAGAGACAAGGGTATAGATTTCACTTGTTATCATTGAATACTAGGGTCCATACATATATATGTGCTAGCATCAGAAGTCTGAAATTGCTCTGTGAAACTGGATCTTAACTGGTACGTTTCGTATGTTGAACACAAGTATTTATTTTTAGATTGTGCAAGTATTTTGAAGGAGTATCCCAAAGCTGAAGATGGTGTGTACAGGATACAACCGTCAGACGAACAAGGCTCGTTCAAAGCGTACTGTGACATGACCCAACATGGGGGCGGCTGGCTGGTGAGTGCACTCACTCTGGGGCAACAACCTCATTATTTGGACATCGGCAGCAACACCTGCAAACAGAGAGTGTTTATTACACATGTTGGTCATGTGAACAAAGTTGTTTTACCCTTCCCGAAAATAATGAATGTATAATTACTATTTTAGGCCGCAATTTGTCAGTTCTATCTTTGCGGCCTGAACAATATAGAATCCTATTCTGATTCATAACGGAGGAGGAGAAATATGAAACATTATGTAATCTTAATCATCTGCAGGTCAACCATATATCAAGACAAGTCTCTGATATTTAGTATTATAGCTAAAATGGATAGAATTATCATTAAACCGCCCGCATCTTATCGGAAATGAGCGGGCCACTGTAACTTGATAATGTCCTCATATTGCTTGACGACGGGCCATTATCACTCCCGTTGTTAGGTGGCGTCATTCGATAGGGATAGGTGACGTCACGTTCAATAGTGACGTCATCTGGTTTGTTCTCTGACGTTTCCATATTTGTAAAAGTGGGTCAGTGAAATTCGTGATGATTGCAGTAAATGTTTCCAAAACGATATTGTTGTTTCTTCTTATCTGATAACAAATTCCATTCATTTTAGCTATAATAACGCTGACGCTATTTTTCAGGTCATTATCATTTGCAGAAGCCCTCGCTCTTTTCAACCGCGCTCCTTCGTCGGGCAGTTACTGGAATACCTCGGGCTTCTACAAATGACACTGCCCTGAAAAAAAGCGTTATCCTTATAATACTATGTTTTGGGTAACGTTTGACATGGATTTTTCACACTTTACCTATATACTTATTAATAAGTAGTTCCAGTGTTGCAATAGAGACAAGGAAACGTGGTGTGTTCGGTAGTTCAAAGACAATCATGGTAATATTACAGGACGTGCGACCAGTACTGAGGCCGATAACACCAGCGGACGATTGTTTCAGCCTCGGATTACATACAAACCGCATCTCTTAAATCTTAAAATGTTTACTCTATATACATTTTCTGCTTCCTTTTGCAACGTCCTCGTTTCAACTGGGGCGCGTCTTACGACTATCCCTGGTGCAAAGGGACATGACGTGTGTGGATCGTAATATTATACAACAATACCTAGTTTTAGTGTTTTGATTCGTTGGAATACCTTGTTTCAGCTTATTCAGCGGACAGTGGATGGGTTTGTGGATTTCTGATTACCAAGAAGTTTCGTTTATGTTAAATTGTGTGTGTATGTACTGGAGATCATGTTGACCTAATACTCAGGTAAATATTATGTTTTTATGTTTTGAGTCGATAAATCATTTTGTGTTACAGGTGATACAGCGGAGAGTGGATGGGTTGGTGGATTTCTACAGGACTTGGTTTGAGTACATGGACGGCTTTGGCAATCTCACTGGGGAGTTCTGGCTTGGTAAGGACGTGTACAAATACACAATACATTAAATATTATTTGACTTGTTAAGTCATGGAAACACACGAATCTTCCATTGAAGCTGAATCAATGGGCGAAAGTTGTATATGTAGAATGTCCTTTCTTTATCAATAAACAAAAGAACACACTATAGGCATTTTAGTCAAAGAGTCTTGAATGTTTTCTTGAAAATCACTAAAAATTATATGCGATATCGTTGCTCATTACGTGCATTCAAGAAGTTCGAGTCCCTAATGTTAATTCACCAAGAAGAAGAAGAAGCGTGGTATTTGTTTATACAAGTACAAAATATAACATCATAATAACTTACAAATTGTATTATCGCTGTGGTCCATATCGTTGTGGTATTTTTATTTATATATTTAATGTCTAATTTGACTTATGGAAAGTACTGTATTTTATTGCAGGTAACGAGAAGATACACCGCTTAACCCGCCAGACAACATACGAATTACGAGTTGACGTAATTTATATGGACGGGGAGACTGCATATGGTCACTACAAGAACTTCCGACTTGCCAACATGTCGGACTTCTACAGGCTTGCCGTCAGTGGATTCTCGGGGAATGCAGGTAAATATGTGTTGTCTTTGGAAATTCTTTGGTTATCACTTTTGAACTGAATTTATTCAACATAGACAAGAGTAACATGTCTGTGCGAGGACTTACCACGCAGTGAACTTCACGTGGTTGTTTATGGCGGACAGCCTGACAACCTCGCATACATATATAGATATATGGAAGAAAATATACTGACATCTGAAGTCTACACTGGGTTGCAAACTCCCACGAACAAAAGATTTTCTACAATATACCTTCACTCCACATCACCACATTAACAGAAGGTGCGATGATGTAACTTCACTGCACATCACTAATATACAGACGATGAACCACAATCTACCTTCACTCCGTATCAGCGCATAAACAGAAGATGAGACAATGTAACTTCACTGCACATCACTAATATACAGAAGATGAGCCAATAATCTACCTTCGCTCCGGATCAGCGCATAAACTGAAGATGCTAAAATGTACCCTCACTCCACATCACAAATATACAGAAGATGCCTTACAACATATCTTCACTCCACTTCACCACATATACAGATGTGCCACAATGTACCTTGGCTCCACATCACCACGTATACAGAAGATGTGCCACAATAAACATTCACTCCACATCACCACACATAAAGACAATGTGCTACAATATACCTTCACTCCACATCACCACATATATAGAAGATGCCACAATGTACCTCCACTCCACATCACCACATATACAGATATGCCACAAGGTACCTTCACTCCACATCACCACATATACAGATATGCCACAATGTACCTTCACTCCACATCACCACATATACAGATGTGCCACAATGTACCTTCACTCCACATCACCACATAAACAGATGTGCCACAATGTACCTTCACTCCACATCACCACACATACAGATGTGTCACAATGTACCTTCACTCCACATCACCACATATACAGATATGCTATAATGTACCCTCACTCCACATCAACACATATACAGATGTGCCACAATGTACCCTCACTCCACATCACCACATTTACAGATGTGCCACAATGTACCTTCACTCCACATCAACACACATACAGATATGCCACAATGTACCTTCACTCCACATCACCACATATATAGATGTTCCACAATGTACCTTCACTCCACATCACCACATATACAGATGTGCAACAATGTACCTTCACTCCACATCACCACAGATACAGATGTGCTACAATGTACCTTCACTCCACATCAACACATATACAGATGTGCCACAATGTACCTTCACGCCACATCAACACATATACAGATGTGCCACAATGTACCTTCACTCCACATCAACTCATTTACAGATATGCTATAATGTACCTTCACTCCACATCAACATATATACGGATATGCCACAAGGTTCCTTCACTCAACATCACCACACATACGGATATGTCACAATGTACCTTCACTCCACATCATCACATAATCAGATGTCCCACAATGTACCTTCACTCCACATCACCACATCTACAGATATGCCACAATGTAACTTCACTCCACATCACCACATCTACAGATATGCCACAATGTACCTTTACTTCACATCAACACATAACCTATTGTAAGGTGAATAATTGAATTATTGAGAAGGCAATGCTGATAAGTCTCATTCTATACTCAATAACACAAGTTCCTGTGACACAAATATTTTAGTGTATTTTTCAAACAAGTAACGTTCGGTTTTCAATATTGTAGTGCATGTATGGAATCAAGTCACAAAAACGCAACTGCTACAGAAAACCATGCATTCCATGCAAAAGTTGACTTTTATGCAAGCCCCATGCATTTCACTACCAAAGAAAGGGTATAAAAACATGTGCGTTAACGGGATTCCATATGCATTGTTTAGCATCGTGCTGACAACAACCACTCAGAAAAACAACAAAAATTACGCAATTATTCAACATTACGAAATGCCACACCTGTCCGAAAATGAGCATCAGCGAGCCATTGGTATGCTTGAAGCAGGATCGAGTCAACGTGATGTAGCAAGACAATTTAACGTCCACAGAAACACCATTTGGTGTTTATGGCAACGTTGGCAACAGACGAATGCAGTCAGAGGTCATCCTCGGAGTGGCAGGCCACGCGTAACCAATAATCGACAAGACAACTGGATTCAAACAACACACCTACGAAATCGATTCCAGCCAGCAACAGTGACTGCAAGAAGCATCCCTGGCCTTCGACGAACATCTTCACAAACCGTACGTCGTCGCCTCAGATGTGCAGGGATTGTCGCCAGAAGACCAGCCAGACGTCCCATTTTGACAGGAAACCACCATCAAGCACGTCTACAGTGGTGAAGACAGCGTCTACGCTGAACGGCCATGCAGTGGGGACAAGTTCTATTCACTGTCTCGTTTTCACCTCAGCCACAGCGATGGACGGATTCGAGTGTACCGACGTCAAGGTGAACGTTACGTCAATCATTGTGTCATTGAAGAAGATCGATTCCGGGGCGGCAGTGTTATGGTATGGGGTGAGATTACAGCAAGACAGAGGACCCGTTTGATAGTGGTAGAGGGAAATCTCAATGGACAGCGCTTTGGCGACGAGATCATCGGCCTTGTTGTTCTACCGTTTTTGCGTCGTCATGGCCAAGGCATTACCTTTCAACATGACAACGCCCGGCCTCATATCGACTTGTTCAGGATTCCCTTCAACAAAACAACGTGAATGTCATCCCCTGGCCGGCTCGCTCGTCAGATCTCTCACCAATCGAGCACATGTGGGATGAGATGGATCGGCGCCTTCGACGTCAACCACGTGTTCCACAGATACTCCAGGAATTTCGAAACATGCTCCGGCAGATATGGACAGATATCCCACAGGACTTTGTGCGACGCCTGGTCAATTCCATGAGACGAAGATGTGTTGCCTGCATCGCAACCAAAGGTGGACACACACGCTATTGATATGTAAATTGACATTTTGGCATGTTCATGGGTTTTTTTATGAAATCACGCATTTTCTTAAGTCAGCATGGCAAAATAAACCATTTGAACTCTTACAGGAGTCTTTTAACTGTTGCAAACCGAAATTGTTTCAGATTTGGTAAAAAACATAACTTTGCATTAAATCTTATTCAATGTCACAGGAACTTTCGTTGTTCAGTATATATGACCATTGCATAAAGTTGATTTACTGTACAAAAATCACGATGAAACATGTCTTAATTGCTGATATGTTTATATAAACGGTTAAGACTCAGTTTAATACAATTCAACTTCAGGTGACTATCTGGCTGGACATAATGGAATGCGCTTCACCGCTAAGAATCTGGATTTGGACACACACAATACCGTGAACTGTGCTGTAAGGTATAACGGAGCATGGTGGCACAGGGCATGTCACAGCTCCAACCTCAACGGCATCTACAACGAAACTACTACGAGAGGAATGAGGTGGGGCGACAAGTCCTGTCTTCACACAAGTATGAAAATTCGCTCGCTTCACAGAAACAACGAAGAATAGCGGCACGCCGAGAGGCTCCACACTGTCTTGTTATTATTGTTCTTAAGGGCTTATGTAGGAATATGACGTTAAAACATTATCTGCTGTCCATTTAATGGTAGGTCTAAATAAGTGCAATATGTGAAATAATTGTCATGTTTGAATGCTAGATCAACATACATTTTTGCATCTTAGTGAAGAGAGAACAACTTGGTTTCAGTTGCTTGACCCAGAGACCATATACCGTGTGTTATGCCTTAAGGTCAGATTGACCAATCAGAGAGCAGAACTTCTGAACCCATATAACCCCGTATACTGTCAGTAAAAATCCAAGATGTTGTTACTGACCTAATATGAGACCGTATACCGTCAGTATCAACCATTTTGGATTTTACAACACCCACCTCACATATTTCACTTGAAAATTCTGGTGCAAAAATTCGTTATTCGGCACTGTTTCGTGTTTTAATATCATTAATTGTGATGTACAAAAACATCGGTGTTTAAAGAAATTACTTCAAACTTTTTAAAGTTTTTAACTGATAATATGGTCTCTGCTTGACCCTAAAATGTTATTACTGTTAATTTATCTGGGCCTAATCCCCATTTAAAGGGAAAGTAAAGTAAAAAAATTATTTAATTTTCAAAGATACATTTAGTCAATTTCATAGAGAGTAAAATTCATAATATTCGTAGAAAGTATTTTAATGCCCAAATGAAGGTGCTGAAATCACACGCTCAAAAACAAACCTATTTGGGGGCGTGGCTTAAAGCTACAGGCGCTGCGGTACCAACTGTTTTCATTGGCTGATATGGTGATCTACCTTGTGATTCTTAGCCGTGTGTGAAACGACCTTTGATCTTGACATTGTCAATAATCAAAATAACGTGTCAGGGATTAATCCCCTGAGAAAACAACTCAAGGATATATTTAGTGTTGTAACTAAGGTAACATTAGTCGTGGACACGGTAATCAAATGGATAAGCAGACAGAAAGAAGACATAATGTACATGTACCAAAACATCCGAGGCGGCAGCCCGATCGTCATCTTCAATGAAATTGCGCAGCGCGGCATGCACCGGGAACCCGTTTTAACCCCATTAAGAGGAATCTCCTCAGTGGCGGAAAGTTTCGTTTGGGGGACGATTTCTCTTGTCGTTTCTTATCGTCTGTTTTACGCTTTTTCCGCTTTTCAAATATAATTTTGGTCAAGCATTTGTGATTAAGTATACCCTTATGTATTAAAATCTGCAAAGTCGCTGTGTTGACTTTACTTGCACTTTAAGATATAAGTGATACTTTTAGGTATTGTCATCGTGAGCTATTCTTATTCCAATGTCAAATTCCTAAGTTAGTTAGTTATGCCCGTCGCTCCTCCCGAAGCATAGGCCGCCGACTAGTCCGCCAGAGTCCTCGGTCCTGGGCTGCCCTCTCTAGTTGTTTCCAGGTGTGTCCCATCTTCTTGCTGTCTGCCTCGAGGTCCCATCGCCAGGTGTTTCTTGGTCGTCCTCTTTTTCGTTTTCCCTAAAATGGTACCTAAATTCTTCTGGCTAGATACCCCTAAAATAAGCTCAAATTTTACATGTAGTCTATGGAGAGACAAGATAAGGCGTGGCAGGTTTCTAGCTGATACATAATAGTGTATGAATTCAATAAACATTTATTACTGAACTTCTATGACTTTGAACTTTTTTCCCTACATTGTTTTACATGTTGTTAAATGTCATGTTATAGTGAGGGTTCAAACAATAGAGTTGTACCAGGATTTCTACCATTATTGACTCAGATGGTCATTTCCGGCTCAGCATCTACAGCGTCTCATTGGTTCGCTGCTTGAAGGCCTGACCTTCAGATGTGACCTCAATAATTGCATATCCGGCGGGATGGTTTAGCTGATTCAAATCGGATCCAACGGCCTATATATAACTAAGACAAAATTGTTATGGATGAGCAACTTCTTTATTACAATTGGGCGAAGTTTCGGTGTAGATTCTAACACCGTTATCAAGCAAATGATGTACAAACTAGGTATGAGCATGATATATATACGTAACAATAGATAGATGTTTAGATAAGGTGACATGATAACATGAGATAACATGATGTTCAGATCAGGTGTATATAGGATCTGCTATTGTTCTCTAACGGTCAAATAGTCCCTTGCATTGATTTACCCTTCTAAACTACACATAAAAAAGACCAGTGATACCGCCTCATCTGTTTCTTATTAAGAAAAATCCATTCCAGCAGCTCTAGCTTTCGCTGTCTACATTCGACAACTCTTGAGCCTCTTTCGGCGCTATACGACTCTTGTTCAAAAGTCGTTTCGATCAAGATTACAACATTACATACATTACAACATTACAGTCCCTATTTTGACTTGTCCATCTGGTCACAATTTACAGCTATTTCAGGTTAACAGTTGACTTGACTTTGCATGTGTTTGTGAAGGTTGTCACCAGTTGGACACCTGATGGCATCACTATTTGATAGTGATTCATAAACACATGCCTATTATAAACTGGGCGGCAAAAGAAAGTATAGGTCGAGTTCAATGATCGATAAAGAAAATAACAAGAAGAGGTTTTGTTGTGAATTATAATATAATCTAGGGAGGGGTAACAAATGATTGTTCAACCACAGTTTGATTGAAATTGTGCAATCACAGGTCATGTAAGCTCAATGTAAACAATGGTGGGGTAAGAAATTTCATTTTCAAAAGTTGTCTGAAATGTCACCAAAAAATTGTCAGACACACTACAACTTCATTGTCGACACAGTTGCCTTCAATAGCGTGTATGACCTCCAGCTGCCTCAATGCATGCCGCCTCATCGATGACGTCAGTCCTCTGATGACGTGGACTGGAATCCGTTGCCACTCGTCTCTCATGGCCTGCTTCAATTCTTGTCTGTTGACGGGAGGCTGATGGCGTGCTTTAATCTGTCTGTGAAGAAGGTCCCACAGATTTTCAATAGGATTCATATCGGGTGAGTGGGTAGGCCAGAGTCAGTCTTGCAGTATGGGGCCTGGCATTGTCGTGTTGAAACAATGTCCCCTGCTGTTGGTTTTGTAAGAATTTTGTGTGAACCCAACAAACAACCAATAACTGGTATACAATCAACAATTGTATTGGAAAACTAGGTTTAAAAAATCAATACAAATTACTGCACAGTAGTTACACTGGCAGTACACAATAGAGTGGTAGTACAATATGCAATGGCAGTATAAAATGTGTGAGCAGTGGAAAGGACAATGACAAGAAAAATGATCACCTCGCCGCAACACTGGTCAAGCTTCCGAGATAGACCTGGACTTAAAATCCAGCGTGAAATGTGATCTTCACAAACACGCTGGTCTTGATCTAATGTCAGATGAAATGTGATATGGAATGTGAGATGATACAGGCACGCGTCCGCTCCACTCGTATGGTCTACCTAGCCTCCAACAATTTCCACACAGTGCTAGACCAGTCCGGTGTCACAAGAACATCACAGAATATTCCACATGTTTCTATAACGCTTGACATCCATCCATGCTATTTCGTAAGTTTACAGATAATTCGAGGATCTAAATATAATAACTTCCTCACCAGTGCACACATTAAATACTACTACATTCCTGACAACTAATCATTGTCCAAATACAATGCAGTGAACTTCTACTGAATCTCAACAGAAACAATGTTACAATCATTGTTTAACAATATAAAACACTGCCATTTAACATAACAGAAATACATTCGACGTTATTTGCGGTAGTGTCAAAAGAAATGGGATGACTAGATGGATATAATGTTCATATTAGCATTCCCGTCACCAAGGGCCTGACACATCAACAAAAACATTAATTTTGCATCGCTCTGTTAAGGAAATACGGTACTTGGGCATGTCGTTTAATGTAAGCAGCAGCAGGATGTAGCATGCTAAAGGAGGGAAACACTGCTATCGAAAACACATCCTTATACAAATTAATTACCACATAAACAAAGAACCCTAATTTGTGAAACGGAATTATGTTTTTCATGAAAATATTTAGAAGTAGTACAAGTGGAAACGGAAAATCACCGAGAACCTAATTAGCCCAACAGTATAACATTTATAACCATGCATGTCAATAGCTATATTAGTTCACATCAAGAGTACGTCTTTGCGGTGACACCTCCGATATGATTTGGATACTCATTGTTTCCCAATTCTTATTGGGTTTTTCAGCCAATGCAAATATTGTAAAGAAACATTGTCAACTGATTGAAGAGTACAAGCAATTTCAGACTACCATGGACACATACCTGGCTTCAAGTGACGACATCTGTCACGGCGAATCTGATAACTACACTGGTGAGTGTTACTTTATGGCGTCCATTTTTATAGCTTTGGATTGCATCAATGGTCTAACGGATAGAGCGTCAGCCAGGATAGCGGAATGTGGGTGGTTCGATTCCTTGACCTTGTCATACCAATTTCCAAAGACGTTCAAAGATGGTACTTGTTGTTACCCTGCCTGGCGATGTTAAACCCCATTTCACCTCACTTTAATATCTTCGTCAATAACTTATAAAAATCCGGTTCCAATCACAACAATGTGTGAAATCTATTTCTACTACATCCAGCTCAAACAGCGGCGTAAAACTATTCACGTTCGATCCTTACTCAATATTTTAGTGGCTTTAAATTGGATGTCAATCAACTTTTCCACGAAAATGGTCTGAACCCCAGGATTACCTCTTGGGTGAACTTTTTGTAAATTTTTGAAAGGGCGACAACGTGAAACTTATATTTATTATATATGTTGCGTTGTCACATTGTCGCCCTAGCTAAAATGTGTGAACAAAAGGGTTAATATGTACGCCAACTTAACATATTCATTATGTCGTCAGTACTCCAGTGGACATCAATCAAGTCCATTCTGAAATAATTAATGTATCATTGGCAATATTGGTTGCTTCCTCAAAATGACCAAGGAAACGCTTGACGCGATCCATCAACACGACGGCCAGCGGTGGTCGTCAAATCATACTAAAACTGAAACTGAACAGACACTTTCAGGAGAAAAAGAATAATCGTTCGAATGCATTATTCGTTTACTAGTTCCACTTTGATATGTTTCACGACTGTTTTGCCTCATATGCGATTACCTCCCGTTCTTACCAAATACATAAACTCCGTTGGATCCCCGTAGAATACACGGTAGACTACTCAGGTCACAGGTCTACCTTTCATCATTGTGACAAATTTACATTTGATAAATTTCTGCTTTCATTAAAAAATAAAACTGAACAACTGACAACAAAACTGAAATGTGTAAAACACATATTCCAAAAATAAATTATCACACACCATTGTAGACAAAATTTAAAATGCCTGAATTTCCTAGACATTTTACATTTACATTTGTTTGTTGTTAAACGCCGCACTCAGAAATATTCCAGCCATATGACAGCGGTCTGTAAATAATCGACTCTGGACCAGACAATCCAGTGATTGATATCATGAGCATTGATCCACGTACTTGGGATGACATGCATAAACCAAGTCAGCGAGCCTGACCACCCGATCCTGTTAGTCGCCTCTTACGACGAGCATGGGTTGCTGAAGACGGGTAGAATGTCCTAGACAATCAATCATGGACCCCACATGCTGTTAACAGAACTATTACAAACAGACCTCGTCACCATGGTAGCCGTGGAAAAATCCAGCGTTTTGAGACAGCAAGAAACAAACTTTATAAATTTGTATTTCATTTAAATCCGGTCCCCAGCACATCAAAAATTCAAAAATCGATGAGGTTTCGCAGTTGCCCTAGCCGCCACAGCAAACTACACCGCCATGAGTGAAATCCTTCAGACGTTCATGTAACCTATGATCGTAAATTCAAATCCCAGATTCGGACTAATAATGTTCCTCGGTTTATCAGCAACATAATCAGGCTTGTTGCTTTTACTAGAGCGGCTAAGTAAAGACCTGCATCACTTCTCCTCCCGCATCAAGCTTATACGCCGTGATATTACGCGATAAGTGTCAGATTATGCAAGTATTTCAAAGGAGTGTATGTGTAGATTAAATTTGGATGGGTGATCATTGAACACTAGGGTCCACACGAATACATGCTTTCATGGTGTCATCATTGATTTTCAGTGATCCATTCATATAACTGACACTGCTCTTTTGCCTTTAAGTCAAATGGAATTTGGTTCGTTGGTTGTTCTCTGGCGCTGGCGTTCTATATTCAAATGTGTGCTGGAATGGCTTTGTACAATTGGGTGCTCACTAGTTTCACCTTCCTGTACAGCTACTGCATTGTAAACATTCCCTCACTTACTCATTTAACGGCTTCGTTTGCATCACCAGTCTGAAATTACTTTGTGAAATTAGGCCTTCTCTGGTTTACCTTTCATAGATTCAAAAACAATATTTATCTTCAGATTGCGCAGGCATTTTGAAGGAGTATCCCAATGCTGGAGATGGTGTGTACAGAATACAACCGTCAGACGAACAAGGCTCGTTCAAAGCGTACTGTGACATGACCCAACATGGGGGTGGTTGGCTGGTAAGTGTATTCACTCAACAATTATCTCATTCAGTGTTGCGTGTGCAGATATACCTGCGAATAAAGGGAGTTTCAAGAAATGATACATTTTGTCGGCGATGTGAATGAATATTTTATCGTCCCAGGAAAGATAGTTTGGAGAGTGAGAGAGAAAGCAGTCATCGATGGTAACCATCCAAGCATTTGTGGTATGATACCCTCATTCTCATAATTAGTTTAAGCGTAACACGCAGCGAGACAGATCTGTACTGTTGGGGAGTCTGTTTAAATCCTACAGAAACAGAACAAAGGTTATTCTGGTTCTATCTAAACCCATGAAAAGGGCCAAGATCACACTATATATGAATAACATTTTCTACATCTAAACATGTTTAAAATCGAAACGAGAAAATAACCTAAGCAAGTTTAAAATCAAAACAAGTTTATAATCTAAACGTGTTCAGAACTTTAATATTTTCACAAATAAGTAAGAACTATTCTGAATCGTGGCATTCACTAGTTATCTCCCTTTAAACGGATACAAAGGAACAAAACAGGAACAAAACCTGTGCCAAATTCATAGGTACTCTCTGCTGAAGGAAGAGTCCATTGTACGATTCCGACAAAATGATGAGCATACGTTTATGAATTAAACAGTGATGATACCAAGTATTGGCGGAAAGGAGAGTTTATGAAAACGTTAGGGATGTGGAGAGTACTTATTTGAGTTGATATGTTTATACTTGGACGTCCTAGGTGTTGTCTGATCTTGTATTGGCTCGCTGCCTTCTACACCTTCACTGAACAACTATACCAGGTATAATCCCTACAAAACTGCCGTACATGACAACCATTCACTTGATGAACACTTCTGAACATGTTAGATTCTTAACTCGTTTTGATTATGGCTACGTTAAGATTTCATACATTCTGAAATTCTATACATGTTCAGACCGTTGACTCATTTTTTGTTACAGGTGATACAGCGGAGAGTGGATGGTTTGGTGGATTTCTACAGGACTTGGTTTGAGTACATGGACGGCTTTGGCAATCTCACTGGGGAGTTCTGGCTTGGTAAGAATGTGTATAATGTCACAATTATGCCAGTTTGAAACTAGTGGCGCAAAGCTCAAGAAAGCTGCTTTCTTAGTGGCTAATGTCCACTTCCTGTTAGTCATTTCATTGGTCGGTCAAAGTTCGCGAAAGGTCGTTCTGATGTGACCTGTAATGGGATGTCCTTAGCAGGTAGCGAGAACTTGTATCTGATTTTAATTATATTGAGGTAATCTTAGCATGTGATTAATCGGGTTTTTTGTTTATTTAAAGCATTAATTGTTCTATTGTTAAGCAAGTTTATCTCTGCATCTGTTGTAATATGCAGCTACCAGCCGACTCGTCTCGCATCAAAACACGAGCTGTGTACTCGCGGGCAGATGACCACGGAGCTCGCTGATCACTGTGTCGGATTAACGAGAGTGATTAATGAATGATTTAGGTCATACGCTTGAGAGAAGAAAAGAATTTACAAATTGATTTATAAGCCCTGCCATAATGGAATATCCGCAACGTATATCATAGGAAATATATTGAACAAAAGGTATCAACAGTATTTATGATTGACAATTGCATTCAAAATTCTTCAGAGGTTTCTCGATCAGATTGCCGACAAAACAAACTATACACTTGAAAATGGATTTAACCAAAAATTTACATTGTTACAAGATTCATTTGTTGTGAGATACTCATTGATATTATGCATGCAATACCGCTTATGATACCTTTTCAAATACAAGTACATCACCATCACATAACATCACATGTGTTTCCTTACGGTACGTTGCTTTTACGTTAAGCTGGCAAGACGTGGTTACCCTTTTCGAGAACACCTGGTGTCAGCACTGATTTTCTCTGATCCATTTATATCATTTTCACAGCTATTTTGCCTTTTACGCACAGTGGAATCTGTTTATAGAATATCCTTTTAACCATCATCAAACAGCCTTGCTCGACAACGGTATAAGGATCTATTCAGAAACGCCGTCTTTACAGTAAATGAAGAAGTTTATTTAAAGCATTTAAAGTTATGATTGTTTAAAGCACTTTGTTTGATTGCAGGTAACGAGAAGATACACCGTCTAACCAGCCAGAAAACATACGAACTACGAGTTGACCTCAAGTTTACAGACGGGGAGACTGTCTATGCCCGTTACGACAACTTCCGACTTGGCAATATGTCGTCCTTCTACACCCTTGCTGTCAGTGGATTCACGGGCAATTCAGGTACATTCTTGTTTTACCCCAAATAGAGTTTGTTTCGGCGGATAATCGAGACTGCTTATTCTCTTGCGTTGACGTTTTATATTCCATGAACACTGTGTTTTTTTTCTCTGTGATCTTTGCAAGCACTTAAAAGATAAGATATTGTATTTAGTCCAGCCACAATGCCCAAAGGTAAACTGTGCGGTCACGGTCATTCTACAATGTCACATGGCCTGATTATGTGCTAAAGTGATGAAACACCTTAAAATCCAACATTTTCGGGTTATGAGCATAAGTGAGCTGTCACCTTACAATCTCACATTGTTTGGTTACTATGATCATAAGTGACGAATCCCCTTAAAATCTCACATGGTCCTTTTTTGTGCATAAGTGAAAAGTCACCTCATAACCTTATAATTAAATTTTCGTTGTGTTCATTGAAATTCCTGCATTCTGATTAGTTGAATTGGTCACTAGTTATTGCACTCATTTCCCAATGAATGTAAAAAATAAGCCACGCCCACCTACTTTTATTAATACGGAATGTCGGGGAATCCCAATGTTACAGTCGAGGGAATTCCCTTTCTGCTCACGTCTATCGTCATGCACAGGACATTAAGCGAAATTCATGCATATTCGTTGTCCAAACAACTATTTGAGACAAAAGGCCGAGAAGGAATGAAACGCTAAATCACCTGATTCATGTCACGCCACAGTATGTATCCCTACACCCGGAATGTTTATCAATCTTGTCATTTTTGTCTGCTTTGATATATACAACTGCTTTTGGTAAAACTATTGTAGATAAAACATGTTTTCGTTGTCGAATTTAATAATAAGGATTGGCTGTGTTCTTTTTTCGGTTCATTGAGGTGAAAAACCGATGTGCAAACTGTATGAATCCGCGTATGAATACACAGTCAATCCTTAAATAAATGGGCGATTTATATTTTTAAGTGAGTAGTAATTGTACAACATCACATGGTAAGAATGCATCAATTTATTTTTACTCACTAACCCCTGACACACTTCCAAAGGGAACAGTATTGGACATGGAGTTCAGCTGTTTTCTATTGTACAATATCGCCACTGTTAATTATGTTATAATTGTTTTTTCAAACATGATGCGATCAAGTATTATAAATAACTAGCTATACTTATAAATGATTACCTTTAAAAACGATTAGATTCATTTCCTTTCGGCTCATCCGGAATCATCTCTTCACATGTAAATTTATTATCATATTTAAGATAGAAGATGAGAAACACTTCCTTTTGTACTGTCCAAATTATCAGAACGAAAGGCAGATACTTCTTCGAACACTAGACCTCCAAACCTGCAAAAATGATAATAAAATCCTAGCAAATATCCTGAACCCCTGTCCTGAAAGTGCAAAATATGTTTCACAAACTATCTCCGACATGTTTATTAAAAGAACCTCTCTTATAGACAACATCAAGATATGACCTTATGACTATTATTATGTCTTATCTGTACAGTATCAGCATCATTAAAGTACACGCTGCCAGCCACCTCATGATATATATATATATAAATGTTTATACACTATGAATGAAATAATATGTAATATTTATATATATAATGTACATTATGTATATATACCTCTCATGTTGATAGTTATATTTATTCCATATGTAGTAAGTTTGTACCCTGCCCTACGAGGGTGTTCCGTACAATAAAAATTCTTGATTCTTGATTCTTGATTCTATTTAAGGTTATATTCCATACGGATCTATATTCAATAGCTTTCACATATAGAAATGGTTTTGTTTCAGGTGACTATATGAATTATCATAATTCCATGCGCTTCAGTGCTAAAAACCTGGACTTGGACCTACATCAGACAGAACACTGTGCTGTGGTGTATCACGGAGCATGGTGGCATAATGGCTGTCATCTTTCCAACCTCAACGGTATTTACAACGAAACCACAGCAAGAGGAATGAGATGGGGGTCCAGCAAGTTCTGCATCCATACAAGTATGAAAATTCGCCCGCAACACAGACATGAGGAAGAATAACTGCATGCGAGGCTCGATGTTGTATTGTTATGATTGTTCTTTAGAGCTTGTGCAGGATTTAGACATTAAAATGGGACTATCCTCATTGGTACTATGTCAATTCCAAGGCTAGGTCTTCACGTTGCAGACCGCCACTATGGTGTAATGGATATAGGGTCTGCATTGAAAGCGGAAGGTAGGTGGCTCCATCCGCGAGCCGCGTCATAGCAAACGAGGTTAAAAGATTATATTAAATTTTGTTGTTACCCTGTCTGACGTTAAGTATTAATGGGATAAAACAAGAACTGATCGGCTTGTAATCAGTATACTGTGTCTGAGTGTGGTGTCAGTGGTGATCAGCTTGAATCAATCTTGCTGATCCTGCTAATTTATCCGAGCGTTGTCCCACTTGAATCACAACACACCTAAAATATTATTCACTCTGTTACAAACAGTCCACATAGACACTAAACTGTTGATTGTTAGACGATGAATGAGTGTGTATGAATTGAATAACCGCATTAACTTAACTTCATGATTTTGTATGTATTCATAAAACATAAAATAAATATATTTCCCTAAGTGCTCACCTCCTTGTTGATCCTTATGTATACTGTTACGTGATGATTCCCAAGTTGAAACTCGAAGGTGAACCAAGAAATCGATTCGTACAGAAATAAGTTGTGAAATCAGTACATAACTGCACAAGATCAATGATCAATTAACACATTATATTGAAACACAGGAATAGGTTTCCAGTCATACAAGACAATACAATGGGTAAACAATATGGCATCAGCAACAAATAACAGGCCGGATTCCATTAATCAGTTCTCTCACAGAATTTGTCACAGTCGAATGACGCACGCGCTTAGTTTTGGAATATTCGAAACAGTGTTAGAAGTTGGCAGAAAAGTCGGCACTTTTAGATCCACAGAGATAAATCGCATGTCAGATCATAGAGGCTTCGAATCGCCCTCATCTCGCTTTTATTTGGGTACAGCTAGCCTCCAAAACTGTAACCTTGCAAAACGCATTGAATGAGTCAATCGGTCCCGGTTGTGCATCGACAACTGTAAAGAAGCTCCTATAGCGGAGCTCTCTATACCGTGAGGGTATACGTAAGGAACGTGTCAGTAGCTGGGACGGAACTTGGACGGTAAACAACCAAGGGAGGTCAATCTAATTTACGAACGCTTAAGCTGCCACTAAGAATCATCAGAAATAATATACAATAATTTACGGCCACACAATGATACGAACCAGAATTTATGCCCGGATTGGCAGAATAAAAACAAGAGAATTTGTCCAAGAAGATTAACTTAAGTCTCAGGTGTATATAGGATCTGCTATTGTTCACTAACGGTCAAATAGTCAAGTCCCTTGCATTGATTTACCCTTCTAAACTACACACTAAAAAAGACCAGTGATACCGCCGCATCTGTTTCTTATTTAGAAAAATGCATTCTAGCAGCTCTAGCTTTTGGTGTCTACATTCGACAACTCTTGAACCTCTTTCGGCGCCATACGATCAAGATTACAATATTTCATACATTACAACATTACACTCCCTATTTTGACTTGTTCCATCTGGTCACAATTTACAGCTTTTTCAGGTGAACAGTTGACTTGACTTTGCATGTGTTTGTGAAGGTTGTCACCGGTTGGACACCTGATGGCATCACTATTTGATAGTGATTCATAAACACATGCCTATTATAAACTGGGCGGCAAAAGAAAGTATGGGTCGAGGTCAATGATCGATAAAGAAAATAACAAGAAGAGGTTTTGTTGTGAATTATAATATAATCTAGGGAGGGGTAACAAATGATTGTTCAACCACAGTTTGATTGAAATTGTGCAATCACAGGTCATGTAAGCTCAATGTAAACAATGGTGGGGTAAGAAATTTCATTTTCAAAGTTGTCTGAAATGTCACCAAAAAATTGTCAGACACACTACAAGTTCATTGTCGACACAGTTGCCATCAATAGCGTGTATGACCTCCAGCTGCCTCAATGCATGCTGTGATACGCCGCCTCATCGATGACGTCAGTCCTCTGATGACGTGGACTGGAATCCGTTGCCACTCGTCTCTCATGGCCTGCTTCAATTCTTGTCTGTTGACGGGAGGCTGATGGCGTGCTCTAATCGGTCTGTGAAGAAGATCCCACAGATTTTCAATAGGATTCATATCGGGTGAGTGGGTAGGCCAGGGCAAAACGTCAACGTTTTTCTGGTTTAGAAAGTTCCGAGTCAGTCTTGCAGTATGGGGCCTGGCATTGTCGTGTTGAAACAATGTCCCCTGCTGTTGGTTTTGTAAGAATGTTGTGTGAACCCAACAAACAACCAATAACTGGTATACAATCAACAATTGTATTGTAAAACTAACTAGGTTTTAAAAAAATCAATACAAATTACTGCACAGTAGTTACAATGGCAGTACACAATAGAGTGGTAATACAATATTCAATGGCAGTATAAAATGTGTGAGCAGTGGAAAGGACAATGACAAGAAGAATGATCACTTCGAGATAGACCTGGACTAAAAATCCAGGGTGAAATGTGATCTTAACAAAAACGCTGGTCTTGATCTAATGTCAGATGAAATGTGAGATGGCATGTGAGATGATACAGGCACGCGTCCGCTCCACTCGTATGGTCTACCTAGCCTCCAACAATTTCCACACAGTGCTAGACCAGTCCGGTGTCACAAGAACATCACAGAATATTCCACATGTTTCTATAACGCTTGACATCCATCCATGCTATTTCGTAAGTTTACAGATAATTCGAGGATCTAAATATAATAACTTCCTCACCAGTGCACACATTAAATACTACTACATTCCTGACAACTAATCATTGTCCAAATACAATGCAGTGAACTTCTACTGAATCTCAACAGAAACAATGTTACAATCATTGTTTAACAATATAAAACACTGCCATTTAACATAACAGAAATACATTCGACGTTATTTGCGGTAGTGTCAAAAGAAATGGGATGACTAGATGGATATAATGTTCATATTAGCATTCCCGTCACCAAAGGCCTGACACATCAACAAAAACATTGATTTTGCATCGCTCTGTTAAGGAAATACGGTACTTGGGCATGTCGTTTAATGTAAGCAGCAGGATGTAGCATGCTAAAGGAGGGAAACACTGCTATCGAAAACACATCCTTATACAAATTAATTACCACATAAACAAAGAACCCTAATTTGTGAAACGGAATTATGTTTGTCATGGAAATATTTAGAAGTAGCACAAGTGGAAGCGGAAAATCACCGAGAACCTAATTAGCCCAACAGTATAACATTTATAACCATGCATGTCAATAGCTATATTAGTTCACATCAAGAGTACGACTTTGCGGTGATACCTCCGATATGATTTGGATACTCATTGTTTCCCAATTCTTATTGGGTTTTTCAGCCAATGCAAATATTGTAAAGAAACATTGTCAACTGATTGAAGAGTACAAGCAATTTCAGACTACCATGGACACATACCTGGCTTCAAGTGACGACATCTGTCAAGGCGAATCTGATAATTTCAATGGTGAGTGTTACTTTATGGCGTCCATTTTTATAGTTTTGGATTGCATCAATGGTCTAACGGATAGAGCGTCAGCCAGGATAGCGGAAAGTGGGTGGTTCGATTCCTTTACCTTGTCATACCAATTTCTAAAGACGTTTAAAGATGGTATTTGTTGTTACCCTGCCTGGCGATGTTAAACCCCATTTCAACTCACTTTAATATCTTCGTCAATAACTTATAAAAATCCGCTCCCAATCACAACAATGTGTGAAATCTATTTCTAGTATATCCAGCTCAAACAGCGGTGTAAAACTATTCACGTTCGATCCTTACTCAATATTTTAGTGGATTTAAATAGGGTGTCAATCAACTGAACAGACACTTTCAGGAGAAAAAGAATAATCGTTCGAATGCATTATTCGTTTACTAGTTCCACTTTGATATGTTTCACGACTGTTTTGCCTCATATGCGATTACCTCCCGTTCTTACCAAGTACATAAACTCCGTTGGATCCCCGTAGAATACACGGTAGACTACTCAGGTCACAGGTCTACCTTTCATCATTGTGACAAATTTACATTTGAGTGAGTGAGTGAGTGAGTTGGGTTTAACGCCGCTTTTAACATTATTCCAGTCTTATCGCGGCGTGTCAGCTTAATGTGGGAGGAAAGCCCGAAGTGATGTGGGTCTCAGACGTTTACCACTTCGGTGAAACCCACGAGCACGGGTATGGTGCTGACAAACCTAGAAACATAATTGGGGCGAACCGGGATTCGAACCCACAATCATAGGTTTCTGGCGTGCCCAAGGGACGCAACTCTGCACAGCGAATCACGGCGCCTTAGACGACTGAGCCACCCGTGCCCCCAATTTACATTTGATAAATTTCTGGTTTCATTAAAAAATAAAACTGAACAACTGACAACAAAACTGAAATGTGTAAAACACATATTCCAAAAATAAATTATCACACAACATTTTAGACAAAATTTAAAATGAATTGAATTTCCTAGACATTTTACATTTACATTTGTTTGTTGTTAAACGCCGCACTCAGAAATATTCCAGCCATATGACAGCGGTCTGTAAATAATCGAGTCTGGACCAGACAATCCAGTGATTGATATCATGAGCACTGATCCACGTACTTGGGATGACATGCATAAACCAAGTCAGCGAGCCTGACCACCCGATCCCGTTAGTCGCCTCTTACGACGAGCATGGGTTGCTGAAGACGGGTAGAATGTCCTAGACAATCAATCATGGACCCCACATGCTGTTAACAGAACTATTACAAACAGACCTCGTCACCATGGTAGCCGTGGAAAAATCCAGCGTTTTGAGACAGCAAGAAACAAACTTTATATATTTGTATTTCATTTAAATCCGGTCCCCAGCACATCAAAAATTCAAAAATAGATGAGGTTTCACAGTTGCCCTAGTCGCCACAGCAAACTACACCGCCATGAGTGAAATCCTTTAGACGTTCATGTAACCTATGATCGTAAATTCAAATCCCAGATTCGGACTAATAATGTTCCTCGGTTTATCAGCAACATAATCAGGCTTGTTGGTTTCACTAGAGCGGCTAAGTCAAAACCCTGCATCAGTTCGGGATCTCGTCCCACATCAAGCTGATACGCCGTGATAATACGCGATAAGTGTCAGATTATGCAAGTATTTCAAAGGAGTGTATGTGTAGATTAAACGTGGATGGGTGATCATTGAATACTAGGGTCCACACGAATACATGCTTTCATAGTGTCATCATTGATTTTCAGTGATCCATTCATATAACTGTCACTGTACTTTTGCCTTTAAGTCAAATGGAATTTGGTTCGTTGGTTGTTCTCTGGCGCTGGCGTTCTGTATTCACATGTGTGCTGGAATTGCTTTGTACAATTGGGTGCTCACTAGTTTCGCCTTCCTGTACAGCTACTGCATTGTAAACATTCCCTCACTCACTCATTTAACGGCTTCGTTTGCATCACCAGTCTGAAATTACTTTGTGAAATTAGGCCTTCTCTGGTTTACCTTTCATA